TGGTACTAAACATCATGCCTCACCCAAGAGGACCGTAGTTCAGAGCACAGGCAAGCAGAATTACACAGAAACATCTCCAAGAATGGGGCCTGACCAGCACAGCCTGCCTTGGCTGAGAACTAGTTCCTGCAGTCCCACTTGGGTGGTAACTACAAGTGGAAACTGGCATGGCCTCTCCCAAGCACATTCTACTGTCTCCAACCACCAGGCAGCTGACTCTTGCACTCATCATCTCTGCCCTGTCTCCACGAACTTGCAGCCATTGTTTTTCTTGGCACTAGTCAGTTTACTTTTTCCTCAAGTAAGCTTCTATCTAAAGAATTGATGTTAATTCCACGAGCCAGGTTTTCCTAACTGTGGCACTCTGCCATTTTGGACAGCTCCCTATTCTGGAGTAACCTGTTCAACTGCTTGCCATTCACCAGTACACTGCCCTGCACTTAGCGCCAAGGCCACCCTACCCCAGCTGTGAGGGTCAGAAGAGCTCCCAGATACTGCATGTGTACCTGAGAGGAAGGACAAAAGTCTCCCAACAGAGATCCTCTGCTTTGCAGAGGTGTACATTAAAATACACATGGACATTGTGCCATTCACTCGGGAACAAGCACCATGGCCAAGGGGCCCAAAAGCAAGTGTGTCGTGTTGTCAGCGCACTCTTGGGCTCTGTCTTGTGCATGCCATGCGTCCTGAGCCCGTTTCCTCTCTGCTACGACAGCACAACTTTCAAAGGAGTGCTGCAAGAGAATAACGGCAGCAGGGCCAGCTCAGAGGCAAACTGAGGACACCGCTGTTTCAATCCCAAGTGCTTTGTGGTTCGGCCCTGAGAGTTTGAGGCTTCTCAGGAGGCACTGAGTCTCCTCAGAGCACAGAGCACCTAGGGGTCTGCACAGTTCGGTATATGCTCGGCTCTGTCTATGCCACACAGAAGCTAGCCCCAGACTACATGTGCCCTGTAGACTGCACTTCACTGAGTCCTGACCCCACTGTCCCTCACCACCCTGCTCATGTTGGAGCCAGAAGCCACACACTCCGAAGCCTTCAGTGAATGTGTATGTGTATTAGTGGGGTTTCGGAGTAAGAATCAACCTGAGGGAGAAATGTTTTCATTAACATGTAGGAAGAAAAAACAAGATGTAAAATTTAAAAGGAGACAGCGAGCAGATGCTAGGAAAGCTTTGGTGATACTGGGCACGTGCACATGGGAAGATGTCCACAACCTTGGGACAGGCAACCAGACCAATGGCAGCTCCAGCAATCACACCCAAATTAAATAGTAAATGCTGGTGACCACCCCTGATCCAGGGATATGTATTTACTCTGACCACATTAAAAAAAAAAAAAAAAGAATGTTAAGGTATGCAGTCACTTAAACATTAGAGGATCCTGATGAAACACTGTCTCAAAAAAAAAAAAAAAAAACATGAAAAGCAGGGAATTCTGCACATACACTTGCATTTCTGGTTCTGTGCTATACCTTCCACAGTAATAACTGGGCAGGACTGAAGGAGGAAAGCCGGGCGCCCACTGCTGCCTAATAATGTTCACACCAGGTCCTTTTCTCTGGTTTCTGATGGATCTGGGTTTTCTCTCCTCTGGGGCAGTATTCCTCTTTTCTTCTCCCTAGGCCACAGCACTAATGGTACTATGTTTATCACTCAAAAAGCACTTCTCAAATGGTAAAGGAATTTTATCACTGTTTTTGGAGTCAATGTAAAATGTTGATCATTTAAACACTGGAGCTTTTTCCAAAGAGCCAAATGTTGATTCAAATCCTTTTCCCTAAATATGAAAAGAAATCTGAAACATTTAAGCAGGTCCACATCTTGAAAAATAAATCACTACTAACAATAAAATGGTAAATATTTCATTTAAAACAAAGAACACTAAGAACACTTATGACGGTTATTTCATTTAAAATAAAGAATATCAAGCTGGAAGAGGCAGATGAGGGACAGGATAAGCTGGACAAACTGCAGTGAGAGCTCGGGCAGCAGGACTGATGTGGGTTTGCTTATCTGGTGCTCAAGTTACTTGCATCCATTCATAATCAAAAGGAAAACACATCTACCTGCTTAAGGAGAAAGACTGGCCAATAAATACCAAGTGTTGGACCAGACCAGGTACCCTGTCTCAATCTGTAAACAGTTTGTTGGTTTCTAAGCATGTTTACTCTTTTCAGTCTTAGGTAGGTGTGCCTTTGTGCTGGATGCCAGAAGTGAGGCCTGCAAAACTGGAAAGATTTGCTATCCTCTTTGCTGAAAAACTTTGCAGACTTCTGGCTAAAAGAATTCCACTACCACTTTCAAATCTAAACTTTGACATCCGAAGCAAGAGCCCCTGGCTTTCAGAAGAAGAGGACCTTGCAACTGGGGCTGAAGGTGGGGATGCCCTGGTTCATGATGGCAAAGACGGACAGGTGTTCCTGCAGGTTGATTTCAGGCCACTCGAGTTACGCATTTTAATTTCCTCAGGGTCTCCTTATCCTTGCCAAAGCTACGATGTGGCATTTGGACTCCTGACAGTCCGTCCTTCCTGTCACCAACAAGAAGGGTGAGTATTCACATCACCTTCTGCCTTGACTAAAGAGCTCCTGTCCTCTTCACTGTACAGCTGAGATGAGGACCCTGAGCAAGGCTGGCCCAAGGACCAGGAGTGATTGGGGCACCAGGCTTCCTGAGCTATCTGATTCCAAATGCCTCTCTTGCCAAGGCTGCCAGACATTGTCTGACACCCCATTCCTGAAGATGGCTGTCCCCACTGCTTCTTCTCCGGTCTCCCTGGGTCTGCAGTCTGACTTCAGTAGCAGTAACTCTCTGCCATGTTACTGGAACAGTCGGGGACCTCACCCCCCTGCAGCTTCTCCAACTGTGCACGCTCCCAACCCACACTCCAACAGCCACATTTTCCAGGCGTGTGGGCAAAGGAATGTCGGATGAGCAGGCTGAGAACGTAAGAGCCCTAAGTCCAAATGTCAGACGGAGCAGGACGGAAAATCAATTCCAAGTCTACCTGTGATCTTCAGAGAACATACACAACAGCCTCCTAAACGGGTTTCTGTGTCCACTTCCCCTCCCTTAAACATCTCCATGCAGAGGCCCAAGCAATCTTTCACAAAAGTGAATGGGATGAGTAACCTCTCCTGCTATGATCCACCACTGAACTCCCATTTCCAACAGAATCCAGTCCTCAGCATGGGCAACCAGCTCCTTCCTTATGTGAGCTCTGCCAGTCTCTAATCACGTCCTTCCCTCTGCTCTGTGCTCCTTGGTCCTACTCCACAGGCCTCTTGGTAGCTCCCTAATGCATCCGGATTCTTCCCACACTAGGGTCTCCAGTATGGCTGCTCCTGCAGCCTAGAGTACACTTCCTGATTCCCCACATGGAGGGTCCTCACTCCTTGGGTTTCAGATGTCTTCCTGGGACACTCAGTGCTGCATGGACCCCACCTCCAACTCTACCTATTGTCACACATTTTAGAACCATGTTTACTGTGACATTCTCAAGTGTCCCCTCTAAAATACAAACCACCAGGGAATGGAGGTCCTTGCTGGTTTCTTTTCTATCCGGAGTCTAATCCAGTGCCTGGGATACAACAGACCATTTATAGTACTTCTTTAATAGTCTCAAATAAGAATTCGACTTTCTTAAAGCACGCTATGGACAAAAGTCCATGTCCACAGAGGAATAGCATCACAACTGCTCTCATATTTCCTTCACTTGATTCCAGAGACAGCTACTGTGCATTCCTCCCCAAAACGGGGACAGTCTAAGCAACTTCTAAAGGAGAGGGGACCTCTACTTTAAAACACAGTTCATACCAGCCGTAAGGGGAAAGTAATTCAAAACATGAAAATTTATTCTAGTTGTATCTTAACATACGAGATCTCAGCTTTAGATGAATTTTAATGTTTACAAGTGCAAAAGCAAATAAATACCAGTTGCCTCTTTTTTTGCACTCTTGTAACTGCACAACAGCTTAGATTAAAAAAAAATTGTTGCTAAACATCTTGTAGTCTGGCAAAATGAAGAATTTATTAAGAAAACCCTTCCGAACAATAACAACCCTTCATGCTATAGCTTCCTATGGAAGCTATGAGGAAGGCTCATTAACATGTGGGCACAGGAGAAAGCAGAGGAAGTGCTGCCACCATGGCAGGAGCCATGGCTGAACCTGGCTTGGCTGCATCACTACCCTTGAGCCAGACAGATACACTGCTGAGAGCAGCACTGGCTCATGGCACTACACCTCCTGGGCTCAGACCATGCATTAACACTTGCTCTCTAAGACTGAATCCTTTCATTCTTTAGATGGCAGCGTGCATGCCACTTCCCCAGAGCAGACTTCCTGAGCTGAGGGTGGTCATCGCCCCCCTCACAGTCCTCTTCCAGAGCTTCCTGTTCATTTCTTCTACTGCCATTTCACCACTGAAAATGAGTCCGGTCGTTCTGGGATTCTGCCTTCTAACCACCTTTATGGCGTGCTCTGAGATGTTCCTGTGACCTAACTCTGCATGTGCAGTAGCCGGTCACTGTCTATCACCTGTCTGCTTCTGCGCCACTGTGAGGCAGGCCCCACCTCCCTGGCCCCATCCAGCCCAGGGTCCAGGATGTCAGGGGGGGTGCTGCATCACTGACCACAGACAGAGATCTGGATGAGCAAACTTCAGATGGGCGTCCTTTTAGTTCAGTTCCAAAAATGCTAACTGCTTTCTGAAACTTCAGCCCTTACCCCAAATTCTTTGTCCTCTGTTATTTTCTGCAGCAGTAGAGACTCAACCCAGGGTCACTGCCCTGGATGACATTCCCACTCCTTCTTTTCTTTCTCCTAGAACACGGTCTTTGTAAGCTACCCTGGCTAGGATACAACTTGCAATATTTCTGCCTCAGCCTCCCAGAGTGCTGTGGTTAACAGCTGTACAGTGGGCCCTGCTGTGCACTCTCAGAGGACAGGTCTATTTCTCTCAGCAGCACGGAATGTACAGCAGGGCAGCTCCACTTACCTGGGTTAACAGTGATGAATCTGCTGTCCTCGGAAAATCGGTCCCGGGACACAGGCTTCTTCGAGGGCATACCTGGCCTCCGGGCATCATTCCCTGCATACTGCTCTTCTGTGGCAGTGGGGGGCACTTGAGTGGAGGCGACCACGTCCGAGTCTGGGTCTGCCTGGTCTGTGGGGGAGGCAGTGAGCTCCTGCCTGTCCCCAGATGTAGTCTGATTGCCGCCCTCCTCTGCAGTCCTATTGGGGGATGCAGAGGCTGGGGTGGGCGCGGTGTGGTCACCCTCCTCAGTGGTGGCACGGTTCAGCCCACTCTTCTCCTTCTTCTCAGAGTCCTTCTCCCCATCCTCCTCATGCTCTCGCTCGCCATCCTCGCTCTCGCTCTTCTCATCCTTATCCCCTTCCTCGGCACCCTCGCTGTCCTTGGTTGGAGCCGTGTCACCATCTGGCCCTGGGGACACCAAGGCCTCTGTGGTTGCCAGGATGGGCCTCCCTGCCTGTTTGGTGGCTGAGGCGGCCATGGGGAGGCGTGTGGGCCACACGGTGCTGGGGAAGGAGGAGATGCCACCTCCCCCAAACCCCAGGCCCGCCAGGAGCGTGCTGGTTACCACGGAGGCTACCGTGGCCTGGCTGCCACTGGAGGAAGGTCCCATCCCTGTTGCCATGGAAACAAAGGAGAAAGGGATGCCAGAGGATGTCCAGGTGGATGACCCTGAGCTGATGGGTGCCATGTCTGCTGAAGAGGCCGGAGACGCTGTGGGCTGACAGGTCACCGAGGGTGCAGAAGAGGCAAAAGGACAAAGCAGAAAAGTATCTGTAGTTAGCACTGAGAACAGAGCCCTGGTCTGTCAAACCTCAATGTTTTATTCATCTAAATCAAAGGGTCTCCTGAACTATTGTGCAAAGTGTGACCGATGCTGGCCAGTAACAGACTCAGACACATTACAAAGCTTTCCCAGAGTATCAAACCCAACCTTTTCCTAATACTACTTAGTTGAGGCTAATGATCAAAGCAACAACAACAACAACAACAACAAAAACAACAAAAACAGTAAGCAGCAAATTACAGTTGGCTTAAAGACCAACAAGAAAGGAATGGTAAACTGGTCACATGAAACCTTCCACGGCTTATGAGGGAGCTTGAGGGGCAGAAACCCAACTTTGTCTTCCACGGACACTTTTGGTAAAAACTCAGCTCTGACCCCTCTATTGTCCCTCTCTGAAAGGACACTGGAATCAGGCACCATCCCACTAACTTGCAGTGAGGCAATGGAGGGACACATCCAGTGAGAGAGCATCCAGCCTGCCTGTCAAGTGTGAGCTGCGCTGTGGTCACTCCCGGGTTTATCCTGAGAGAATTTGTTTCCAAGGACATGAAAAAACACCAGCAGCAACATTCCTTTCACCAAGGGCCACCCCTGTGCCACCACTGTCCCTGCTGTCATGGAAGCAGGAATGCATTGCCTCTTGTAAAACAGAGAGCACCGGGCAGCCAGGGAAGGTACAGAGGTAGCATTGTCTGTGTGCAGCCTCTCCCACTCGCCCTCTGGACTCAATGAAAAACAGAAGCCAGAACAACTCAAGTTCCTGATACTGAGTTTGAAACTGAGAATTTTGTAGTTTAAGTGTGATTGTATTAGTAATGTGGAGTTCTAAGGCTGTTTAAGGAGAACTTGGTGCCTCCTATCAGGAGCTCCACCCGCGGAAATCAGGCATCTTGGGCTGGAGGTGAGGGACTCTCGTGTGCCGTCTGGGTGATGTGGCAAGGGACTTAAACTCACTGAGCCTGGTGCCCAGACTGTGAAGGGGGAACCATACTAACACTGGCTTTCTAGGCTGTTGTGGCAGAAAATAAAATCATCTGATTCCCAAATCCAGAAGGGGAGCAGTGAGTTTCAGGTTATTACCGTGCTTACCTTCACTGGAATTAGCACTATGATTCTTCTTTGAACCAGGAATGGGAAAACTGAGCAATTTATTCATGCTCCAGAAATGTGTAGACCTATATAACTTTTGGATTGTAACAGCAACATCTGAATTACAGCATATACCAAATGAAACCACTTAGGATAGATTAACCTCCTAACTCCCTTGTATTTTCTGACACCAGTGTTTTTACTTTTAACAATTTACATACAGTACAAGGCCACTGCTGTGCAGTTTTTATAACATACTGAATTAGGAGTTTTTCTCCATTTGAACTGCCCCCCATTGAGCAGTTCAGCAACACTACACTGCCACCTCGTGGTACTTGTTTTAACTGCATGCAGATTCACAACCAGCTAAGACACAGCTACTGTGGTTTATACTCACCACTCCTGTTTTCACAATTCTGGTCCCTTGGAATATGCGGGTGGTGTTAGCTAAAAAAGAGAAAGAAAGAATTATAAAATAGATAAGCCAGTATTTAGGATGTAGTGCCAATATAGCTGTACTTCAGGACACAAATCGGAACTACATACAATTTTCACATGCCATAGAGTATTTCTCTGTAGACTTTTTAAAGTATTTCAAAATATTCAAACCCTTTTTAGCTTGCTGTCAGAGAACATCCACGGAGGCTTGGCAGTGATCTGTAGGGTCCTGTGCCTTATCTAAAGTCACTCATTAAAATTCTAAAACATTCTAGTCTCCACTTTTGGATCATATGTTGATGTTTCTAATAAGCATTTTAACGTACTATAACGTTTCATGTTAAATGAGCACTTCTCACTCATCCTAAAAATGTAAGAACTGCATGATAATTGAACCCATTAATATGCCTAAACTTTTGTGTATTGTCCATTATTGTATTTCCACTGGTGCTATAAAATCCTCTAACATACAGACACTTATTTTCATAAGATGCTATAATTGTACTCTAATCACATATCACCCTTTCTGCTGTTCAACTTTTTCTGAAAATTCTGTTTTCTCATAGTATTAGGAATGTTAGTAAATATTTTAAATCATAGCAGGACCTAGCTAATACAAGTTGATCACCCTAAACATTTTATAGTATATGGATTTGAGGTGGCTAAGGATAAGCACCATCCATCTCTAGGATGTCATTGAACAAGGATGAGTCTGTATGCTGCAAACAACAACACATTTTCTCCTCTCCTGTAATCTGGCAAGCATCACGGTGCTTTGTATTATTTAAATTTGACTACAATGGATACCTCGAATAAATGTGATTATGCATAGTCATAGTTTTGTGACTGGCTTCATATGTGTAGCTTAATAATGTGTATAGGAGTCATCCATATCATATAGCATGTGTCATATAGCATATAGAATTTCCTTTCTTATGGCTGAATGGTATTCCACTGTATGTGTCCACTGCTTTTGTTCAAGGTGCATGTTTCAGTGCACATGTGGATTGATTCTACTTTTTAGTCACTGCAAGTACATCACTAAGGAACTTTTAAAAAACACCTAGTTTTTTCTTTGTCATTACTTAAAAAAGTATTGACACAAAATTGAACTTGTACTTCCTATATATGCTACTAAGCATTCACACACACACACACAAAAAAAAACACCTGGCATGATTTTTAGATAAAATATAAATGTCATGCAACTTACCCTATTTGTTTGTCCTGCAAGGTTTTTGTTTTTTAACTGACTGTGCAGTCAACACTGTAATATAAACAGTAGCTTTCATCTAAAAATCCTAACTTCAAACTTATCTAAAGATACTGCAATACAAACTGGGCTTGCTTTCAACAGGAAATGTTTGGGTGGGGCAGAGCTAGGGAGCACATGGGCTCCAGTTTCCCAGTGATGGCCCACATGGCCTATGCACAGGTCCCTGAGCTTATAAGGCCTGAGCTTATAGCCCCTGGCCTAATGATACGCTTATTTGCATAGCTGAAAAGTGAAATATACCCAGAGAAGAGATGAAAGTCAGGTCTACAAGTCCATACAATCTTTAGGTTTCAGGTCAAAGACGGAAGCAGAGGAAGCAAATAGGTCAGGTCTCAGCCAGGACTAGTTTCCCCTGATTAGTCAGTTGGGGGCAGATCTGCAATTTCCTTCCCTCGGATAGCTGTACATGCCGCAATTTGTTTACGTAGGTACAAAGTTTCCAGGGCACCTGCCTTACTTGCCATGTACAAAGGGCTCTAATCAAGGCCAACAAACCCAGCAGTTCTCAGCAAACGGGACTCAATTTTTGAGTCAGTCTCACTATGTCATTCAGGCTGGCCTAGAACTCACAACAACCCTCCTGCCTCGGCTTCCCCAGTGCAGGGAACACAGGCATCTGTGACCCAGGCTGGCTAGCAAGCTGCCTTTTATTAGTCTTGACTCTCATCCAGGTAGTGACAGCCCTATGACCAGGAAGATTCCAGCAGCCCATTCCAACAAGGAGTGCTCAGCCTGGGATCCAGGGACTAAGGGATGGAAGGGCAGGGTGGGAAGCGACATCTCTACCTGGCAAAGCTTATTCCTGCCATTATGAACATCCACCATCTCAGCTGTTCTTGCTGCACCTGTGTCTCTGGCTACAATGCCCGATATCTTCCGTTCTCTATTTGGGATTCCTGTTGCCTGTCCACCACTTGGAATCACTGTAGCTAATGGGCCAACCGCCCTTATTTACTACCACTTTCATAAAGGACGCCTGTGTGCTGCTGCATCCCAACCTGCTTGAAATTGTTTCATTGTACTGCAGGGTAACTGGTTCCTCCCTTACGTATTTCACTTGGAACCACAGTTCTGGGAGAGGATCTCAGGCCTTGTCAGGATGGCCCCTGACACATCAGTGACACACACAAAAAAGCTGGAAAACCCTACACACTAGCTTAAACACTCAATCCTGATGTTTTTTAACCTTTGTTCAAATCTGGGGTGGAGAGTCCCATTTACTCTCAGGGGTCACCCACTGTTGTGTGTACAGATTGTCCTTAGTACAAGACAATGGAACCCTGCTCAGTAACAGGGATTTTTCTCAAGTTACTTGGGCCTGAACCATCATTTTCCCATTTGAGAAACAACACCTACGTTACCATATGCCAACCAGAGGCTTCTGAGGAAATAATTTACATGATAATGCTCTGTGGGCCACTCGATAAATACTACTTGCTATTACTGCTGTTATCATATCTACCGCAGTGAGGCAGATATACTTACTCTTATGCCACGGAACATAAATATTGTTGGATTTGTTAGAAAGAGCTAAATATTCCCTGTGGTTTCACACTCTCCAGTCAGATATCAATGCATTATCACTGATAAACCTGATTATCATGAAAAAGCTTCTATGCAATTTTCAGAGCTCTTTTCTTGCCTTTTAAACCTGAAGTGTTCATAGTTGGTCAGTTTTGTATAGTTTTGTTCCTGCTCAGAACCTTCCACCTGCTGCAGCAAGCAGGCCAGTGGCCTTCCCCTGATTATAACTTGCTCACGTGATCACTGGAGGGAAAATGCTTCGGTCCATGGGGAGGGCTCAAGACAGGACCTGGCTCCTATATCCACATCAGGAATAAATAATAAATACCAGCACACAGAGCTCCTGCCTACCTCTCACGCAAGAAAGTCGCAAAGGAGACACTGCCATTTTCAACAAGTCACTGGGATTGGGCATTTAAAACACTCTGTTTTGAATTTACAGCTGCCAGGCCTTTGTGAATTACATTCCACTATCAACATTTAATTTTTCAAAGTCTACACAAAAGCCAGCCAATTCAGCTCTGGGTCAGAGTGCAGGGAGGTCTAATCATGATTTATGCGCCTGAAGTTCTGTGTACAGCCACAGTAGGCACCCAGTCTTGTGCCCTTCTCTCTTGCTGAGCTCAGCTGGCACACAGCTGGCCTTGGCACTTAGGCTCCAGGCAGCACAGAGACAGGAACTAATATATTTAGGGCGCAAGTAGACACACTGTATGCAAAACAGTGATTTTTGCACGCAAAACAGTGAAGCTATGCTACAGTTTGCTTAAATGGAAGGGTGAACACATTAGCAAAGAATACTTACCTGCAAGATTTGCTTGCTGGGAGCTCATCTAGGACAGAGGGCTTCTTGACCTGGGTTCATTTGTATCATTATCACTCTGAGTAATTTGTGTGTCAATGCTGGGAATTTGAACAGATTACATCTATCTTCCCCCTCATGCTAACTATGGGAGTGTTCAATGATGGAGCTACTTTACCAGCCCTTTTAATACTTCGTACATCAAAGCTAACACACATTCAACATCCTCAATCCCCAAATCTGAAACTTGGGAGCACTGATTAGATGCTCCAATGGTTTCGCTTTTGAGCATTTTGGACTTCAATATGGATTAGGGATGCTCAACAGGTGAAGTTTATCGAAATGTTCCAGAGGTCAAAATAGCTCCAAAATGTACACAGCTGGTGTCGAGCAAGTCAGATAAGACTGACACCAAATCTGCACCAAGGAGGTAAGGCAGGCATCCTGGGTCGTGATCACTGTGCTAATCCTGACACTTGCAGTGCTCTGTGTCATTTTAATACCAGCATGTTTCCACAGGCTCACTGCAGCTCAAGCAAGGCAGCGACACAGCTGCTACCCAGCAGCCAGGACTGACACCCACTGCAGAACACTGGCTAGTCCAGTCTTTGCCAGCCCTTGATGTCCTGGGCTCCACGGAGATCACTGCAACCTATATGGAGCTTGGACTCCTGCGGTACACTACACTCTACCAGCTTGCTTAGAAGGGGCTGGGAATGTCAAGACAGAGGGCCTTCTGGTTATGCTGACCTGTCTGGGCCAAGACCTGCATGCTCCACAGATCCCTGCATTCACAGGCAATGATTCTGGTACTTTTGAAGGAAAAGTCCAACACTCGTATTAGATCCATGTTTCAGAAATGGGAGGAATCAATGGTGTGCTGTGTAGGCTCTATCTAAGTTGGGAAAGCTGAAGGCTGAGAAGTAGAGATCCCCATAAGAAGCATCAGATATGCCAGGCAGGGCCCAGTGGCTGTCTCTACTTCAGAGCTGCCACTGTTGCCTGGCACAAAGCCAAGTGGGCAAACTTCAGCCTACATGCAGGCTGCCCACCTCTGTTTACAATAGTGGGGCTAACACCACGGATAGGCTGGGGCCACTAGAATAGATGCCATCCATCCTTTAAATCTATAATAGGTGATTCACGAAATCCTTGTACTGATTTTGGTTTTGAAAACTACCAACAAAGAAGAATAGATAATGGCAAACATAGTATATATACACCATGGAATATGATTCAGCCATACATAATGAAATCATGTCATTTGCAGGAAAATGGATATAACTTCAGACTTTACCATTAAGGGAAATAAATCACACACAGAAAGCTTAATATTGCATGGTTTTTCTTACATGACAAACTTATTCTAAAAATCAAAGAATGAATACAATAAGGAAGAGATTGTAGGAAACAGGAAAGCAGTGTTTTAGAGGAGGAAAGGAAATCAGAAGGGGAAGAGATGAGAGAGAAGAGTATAAAGAAATCTAAAACAATCAAGATGTGTTATATGCATGTACCAAGCTCCCCAAACACACATACACTTGTTAAGAGAAATCCATTAAAATGTTACATATCCAGACTGATTACTGAGCCTTTCAGCATTTTCACATTTTGTATCAAGGCAAAGTCATACTAGGTTACCTCTTGTGCTGGCCCCAGACCTCTTCTACTGGTCCCCAAGTTATCAGGAACATACACCTGTATTCCAGGGAGCTGGGGCTTCCCTGTGTGCCTTGCAAGTTGGAAGGGAACTGGAGTAGTTCTGGGTCCAGTTTTTGAGAGACCAGTGAGCAGAAAGACACTAAGAATCTGAAGAGGTCATCTGAGGACATGACAGAGATGATTCTGTGATTTAACACAGAGGTATTCTTGGGGCGGGAGGTATGAGTCAAATATGGATCTCCCACAAATTAGAAAACAACAATAAAACAGTAAATATTTGGCGTTTTCTTCCTTCTGGCTCCTAACGCTCCAAATTCAAAGAGGACAGAAATTACTGCAGCTTTCCAGGTGTGGTTTAAACCAGCTGCTGATTCTTAGGCTGTGTCTGCCAATCCCCACTCCGCAGGCCTTGAACAGGAAAAGAGACAGAGCAACAGGCAAGAGTGCGTGGGCAGGAGGAAGAGAGAAGCAACACTCACCCTGGAAGAGCATTGTCTGGCTGAAGTCACTGCGCATGTCATTGCGACACACGGCCTGAACTCGGAACAGGTAAAGGCTGTCGGGTGAGACATGGCTGATGGTGGCTTTCTGCAGGGGAAGAAGCACAAAGAGGAAAAGGTTTCAAGCTCTAGGGCACCATCTACCTGCTCAAGCACACCTGGGAACTTGGCGAGGGTCGACAGCTGTGGTGCTTCCCTGCTAACCAGAGACGCCCTGGAGAAGGAAAGTTTAATAACAAACTATGGAAGACTGGAGACATAACAGCATTATTCTTTTCTCTGCTGATATTTCTTTTTCTTGGTACTGCAGACTGAAGCCAGGGTTGTCATGCTGAGTTACATTCCAGCTCACTGTATTTTTTGTTTTGAGACAGGGTCTTGCTGGGTTAGAACTTGAAATCAGTCTGCCTCAGCCTCCCAGAGTGCTGGGATTGAACGTGTGCACCACCACAACTGGCTGCCATTCCTGAGCATGGCTTGGAAGGTAGCTTCAGTCCTCTTTACACTCCAAGGCTTGGACTTCCGTTTTAATTACTGTACTCTTTATGTCCTTTATCCTAGACAGCCTCGAGAAACAGCAAAGGAATCTCCAGAACCATGTAGACTTCCAAATGTCAGGAAGCAATTCTTGCATGGGTGCTTCTTGACAGTGTGAGGGACTGGTCACATCTTCCCTATGGATCACATGGGATATCATGCATTGAGGAATAACAGAGGCCCAAGGTTCCAAGACTTCGCTGTGTGACCCTGAGCCTATGCTACCTTCGGCTGAGAAGTGGGGAGAAAAACAGTTACTCACAGGTTCTGTAGCAGCTGTGTAACCCAGGTCAGGAACCCTGCTCACAGGTAGACGCATGAAGCAACAGTTAGCATCTACTGATCAGTGACAGTGGGCGAACTGCACCCTGCAGCACAGATCTAGTCAGTCTTCTGCTTTCATAAGTAAGTTTTACTTGCACATGGCCATAGCCATATGTTTACAAACTATTTACGGCTGTTTGCAACTTGTAGTAGTATAGTGAGATAGTATATATATACATACACATACATATATATATACACCATAGAATTCTTAATATCTGGGCCTTGTAGGAAAATCTTTGCCAACCTCAGATAAATGTCCCCAGACAAATGCAGGTCACCATGCTTGAACGCTTCATTCAAACAGCCCTGTGCGGTAAGAAAGGGTAACACATTTTTTAAAAATGCAGCACTTGTTTCCTGAAGGAACAAAAAAATGCACCCAACAGATTCCCACAGATCCCTTTTATACATTGTGACAGTTCAATGAACTGTGCACAGGGCTGATCAAAAATACAGCACTTGTTAAATGAAAATGTATTTGTTACAGTAAAGGACACATTACACAAATCCCCTCAAAATTCTCCTTCTTTCAAACACAATATCCCATTGTTCCTGCAACTTTCTTTTCTGATCCTTTTTTTTTTTTTGGAGGGCACTGGGGATCGAACTCACGACCTTTTGCTTGCCAGGTAGGCACTTTTGCCACGGAGCTAAACCCCCAGTCATATCCCTACTACTTTCTGAAGCAGTTGTGGAAGGCTTTTTCCTGAGTGTCTTTAAAAGGTGGGATCAAAAGTACACTGCATGCAGCTAGCAAGAACCACCCAACAAAAAGCTAGGCTCATAAAAACGGGGGCTGTCTGCACACACGTTGTTCTCTGGGTCTGGCACCATGTGACTTCTGGTTCTTCCCCAAAGTCAAAATGACTATGAGAGAAGACTGTTTTGAGTCAGTTCAGGACTTTGAAGCAGCCATAACATCACCACTCAAGGGACTCACGAAACAGGACTTCTAGAACTGCTTCATAAAGCGGCAAAGCAGGATGGGATACACGATTTTGAAGCAAGGAGGAGTATTCTGACAGGGGTTCAAAGGAATGTGCATGTTATTGTAAGAAATGGTTTAAAAATATAATCACTATTTATTTTATCACACATGCATTCTTGGATGATGCAGGAAGCTACAATGTGCATGAACCTCTAAGATGTTTCTAGGTGAAACCACTGCAAACTTCGATGAGTATTAACATATCACTGGAGCCTCACCTCTGCATGGTATTAAAATTTCACTGTAGCCCCACCTCCGTATGGGTTTTAACATATCACTGTAGCCCCACCTCTGGCTGTCACCTGGAAAGCAGCTTCCTAATGGGAGTAGCAGGTCAGGGCCATGTTATTCAAGTGCAAGCTCATTGTCTCATTTGTACAAGGTATTCAGGAGGTGCAGGAGGATGCAGAAAAGGGCTGCGATTGGGAAATGCAAGAAATATAAAGTGCTAATTTTAGGTTTCTGAGCAGCAGTGACCATAAGTTACAAAACAGCTTTGCTGCCACTAAGTCGGCACTGTTGAAGTGTTGAAGAATTAATAAAATTAGGTTTCTTAATAAAGAACATATCCCTAGAAATTCATATGAAACAGAACTTGCCGGCAAGGCACACTTTTGTCTGTGTCTCTGTCTTTCTCAGAAACTAATTTATGCTCTTTCTGTAAATCTCTGACCCCATCTTCTGTTCAGAGCAAAATCTTCACTTCGGATGCAGGGATGTATCAGAATTCGCTGCCAGGCACTATCTACTCATCTTTGCTTGTTTAATTACTTTCCACTTATAAAGAGAAACCAAATGAGGACCAGATCCTTTCTGCTGATTATTGCAAGCCTGCTTTACTTCAGAAAGAGAAGAATCCCTGATGGACTTCAAGATGTGCCAAGAGAAAGGTTAAAATCCATCAAAAACTTTGGTGCCTTTCAACAGATTCCTCTGATTTCATGAAGTGTGCTGTTCCCTAATGTGGCCCAGATAACAATGTCTAGTGGGGAAATTGAAACTATAAATGGAAATGAAGTAAAAGAAATTTCATCTGAACGAATATGGAAAGTGTCAGTCTATAACTGATCGAATGGCCCTCAAAGACCCTGTTCTAGAGGGAAAAGGCACGTGACAACTGTCATTGAGATTCCCATGTGGTGCCAGTACACTATCCATATGCAGAGACAATTATGGTCTTATTATTCTGGAGCCTCTTTGATAAACAACAAATAAGCAAAGATCTCAAACTCGACTATGTTACTGAGGTTCTTGTGTACAGACTGTAGGACTAGTGCTTCTAGAGCATTTGCTTTGACAGAGGAAGTAGCTGGATTTTACAAACACCTGTTTTGCGGGGCATTTCTGTGTTTCCACTGCTAAACATTTATGTATTTGATGAGAACTTAAATCTGTGTAGCTGATAGGGAAGTCAGGTATTACAAGCTCTCAGAGTTAGAAACTCCACACCACATGGATGCAGCAGGTGATGGGACTATGTTAAGGACAAATGAAGGCAAAGAGGGGTGGTAGGGACTGCGGAGTGCCAGGTGGCTGTGGTGACAGTAACAGATGGAGCAGGGGTGGGTAGGGGGAGTAGGAGACAACAGAGAGGGAATAACTCTAGTGAGAGTGAGGACTTCTGCAGAACTCAGGAAGCACCAACATCTGGGTGCGCCTGCAAAATGCATTTGCTACATGTGTTCACCTGAGCAGATGTGAAAGCCTAAATCAGGAGGAGATCTGGTGTAGATCACAAAGGGCTACTGTGAGGAAAGTAACCAGTTATTCTGGTCATGCAGCTGATACATGCATGTGGAGTCCAGGGAGCATCAATTATGCACCATGAAAGCCCATACCCGCAGGTACCACTGTCGGACTGGCCCACGCACACTGCCTGACCAAGTGCCACAGCCTGGGCCTTGGAGACAAAAGGGCAAGCTGCACCCTGCCTAGGAACAGGGCTTACCAAATCTTTGTCGCTGTCCTTGGTGAATGTCTTCTCCTTCTCATCTTCGTTCTTGGTCCAGCTGTAGGAGATCATGTAGTTCATGATAGGGGGGTGGTAGATGGTCTCTGGCTGGCTCCAGGACACCTGCAGTGCAGTCTGGTTCAGGGGCTGCACCTTCATGTGGATGGGAGGAGAGCTGCAAACTGAAGACACAGCAGGGAGGTTCAGGGGCTTTCTGGGCACAGCACACCCTTGGCTAGCGCCTCTCCATCCATAGGAAATGCCCATGGTCTTCAAACACAGCCACATGCCAGTAACACTGTGCAGCATCCCTTCCTGTCTATACATACACACACACATGTATACAGAGCTTAGCTCTTTCTCAGCTGAGCCACTGGAAGCAGACTGCATCACACTGATAATCCAACCCTCAATGCTGCCTCTTCTAAGAATATGGCCATTGTTCTATGAGACCTGATTCCCACAATCCCAAGGAGGGAACTGAATACTAACCCAACTGAGTTGTCACATAAATAATCCGTATTTCACTTTCCCTCACTTTCTCCATGATCTTTTAGAGCTATCCATGGTCCCTTTAGACTCTTTTTATTTTCCTGAGACAAGGGCTTCCTGAGTTATCCAGGCTGGCCTCAAAGTCTCAACTGTCCTGCTTCAGGCTCCTGACTTCTGGGTTTACATGTATATAGCTCCCTTTGGCTTCTTTTAATTTACCAGTCAACTAGCTTTTTTTGGTTTTCTTCAGAATACACCTTTTGAAGAAGCTAGGACATTTAACTCAGGGGATGTCCAGCTAAAACTGTGGGTGAAAGTTTAGTGTAAACAGATTGGACGTAAATAACCACATGTAACCTGAGACTCTAAATAATCTGAAGACACAAACAGAAGGGTGACTTTCTCTGGGCCAGCAGTACCCTGTGTAACTACCATGATGCAGGGTATGAGGAAAGAACAGATTAATTTGTTTTATCATTCGCTGTGGTGAGAAGACTTTGCAAACCGTGGATTTACATCTATCTACAGACAAAACTTCAGAAGGCTGAGAACATCAAGTCACCCTTGCCTGTCTGATAAGGGTTCTCTGGTCCTGAAAACCTGGACCCCAGAGCTCTGGGAAATGGGACTGTGCAGGGGCAGCCCCTGGCTGCCTCTCGTGCCAGGGACACCTCCCCACTACTGGGAAAACCCCATGTCTCCAGATATTCACAAATGTGCTTGCGCCAGAACACAGGGCTGTGTGACCTGCCCAGTGATAAGACCAGTGGTCTAAAAGGGGAAATAAGGATTTGCCAAAGGATGCCACATGCAAAGCTGACAGCGACCATGAAGAAGAGATCAAAAGAAGGGAGAGAGGACTGGAATTCTCCAAGTGTTTTAGAGAAGCAGTTGACTCAAGCTGTGGGTCCAGGGTAGAAAGATGTGAAAATCTTAGGCAGGAGTATCAGAAATTGCCAGCCCAGGCAATTAGGCAACGCACTGTCTCAGAGAATTTTTAAACTTTAAAAAGGTCTGGTGATGTAGCTTAGTGGAAAAGCTCTAGGTTCAATCCCCAGTATTACAAACCATCAACCAAGTATTAGAGTAAGAGGACCACAGAAGCCACTACAAGACAAGAATCCTTGCCCTTGGCAAGTGCAGAGGGCGTCAGAGCAGAGAGGGCCATCAGGAGGTGCTCCCCATGGCCAGCTAGGGGCAAACCTGGGACTGACAGCCAGCAAGGGAAGCAGGCTCCATGGCACCAGAACGTAAAACTGAGAGGCTTCTGCCAGGCAGGTAAGGAGGAAGAGGTGCAGGTTTGGGCAGTGTAGCTGAGGAGATATGCATGCTGGAGAAAACAGGTGTGCAGAACAGAGCTTGGATCTGACCCACTGGTTTCTTTGGAAGCCCAACTGGGCAATCAGTAGCCCACCATGTGTCAGTCCCCCTCCCCAGGTGGCCATCCAGGTTCCCAGATCCAAGGCAGCCTGAGGGTGCAGGATGGTGTGCACAGCACAAAAACACAGCAGCTGTCAGGACACTGCTGGGGGACAGCAGGGATGGGTTCCCACTGGGAGACACTGCTGTGCTCTTCAACTGCCAATCCGTGAAGCAGCTGCCGAGACGTGCTTTGTGTAACAGACACAGAAAGGAAAGGCTACATTAGGTAATGAGGCATTCCCACTGCCCTGCAGAGCCCCGGCAGAGCCTCTGCCAACCATAAAAATGCCACCAGAGCAGGTGCACCAAACAAAGCATCTGAAGGGAGGCTTCTACTGACACTTGGGGTGAAGTGACAGAGAAAGGATGCTAGGTGGCACCAGAATACTGTTTTTTAAATACCCCAACTTGGTAAACAGGCTGGCTTCTCAAGAAGGCAAAGGGGAAAGAAGGGAAAAGGTCTACATCCCAACTCTGCAATACTAACAGTGAGCCAAGGAGATTTCTCTACGGGGTCTCTTATACCTCACAAGGACACCTTCCCTTCTATGCTCTCACCCCTTACTATGTTCTCCTTCATCTTCTTTTTTGCAGCCATTCTCTCCCCTGATCCAAGTTGCATGGGAATATGCATCTCTCCCCAGCGGTTACACCACAGCCACATAAATAATCCTATCACCCACAGGCAGATTCGACCCTCATTTATATTTTGGGAGGAAAACAGATTTACTGGTCAGGTTAACATGATTCCTATCTATCTATAATACTTTTCTGAATTTGCACAAAAATGTAAATAGCTTTAAAAGAAAGAAAGCAAAACATCCTGAATCTCAATGTAACTAACCACAGCTTACCACTGTGCAATGCTGTGGACCAATATCCAGATAGAAAACTCTCCCTTTACCTGGGTGACCACATACACCCAGCCTGATGTGAAAGTTTTGCAAATGCATTCCTTCATTGTTATGTTTCACTCCTAAAGTCCTGCATGTATTTCCTCATAATAAATAGGTTTGGTACCACTGCTTTGAATGAAAGTACAAAATCCCACAATCTCAACAAGTTAGAAAATACTGAGTTAGTTAAGTTCTCAAGAAAGGGATTGCCTGCCAGCACACAAATTCTGCAACCAAGAGACCCACTGCCTGCCTCTCACTATACATGGCAAGAGCCCCAGGCCAGCAGAGACCAGAGAGGTTTGCAGGCCACAGGGTCCTCCCTGCCCTGCCTCTGAGAAGCATGCTATGAAGAGAAATCGCTCTCCTTTTTGTCTCCTCTGTCACCTTTCAGGACAGACAGCTGCTTTCTAGGCACAGTGGGCACTTTGGGAGGAGGCCTTTGCAAAGGAATAGGAGGAGCTATGATAGTGGCTGGTCAGGCTTTTTCTGCAAAGGGCCAGATAATAAACGTTTTCAGCTCGGGTTTCAGACAACTTTGGTTTCTGGGTTGCAACAGACTCTGCCTTTGAAGCACAACTAAGCAGCACAGTTAGTAATATAAGAATGAGAAGTGTGACTCTGCCCAGGAAAACCCTACTGCGGACACTCAGTTTCAGTTTCATAATATTTTCATGTGCCAGAAACGTCTTTGGGATTTTTTTCCTGTTATAAGATATAAAATCATTCTCAGCTCATGTTTTACAAAAGGTGATGGTGGCTGAGTTTTGGCCTACAGATCAGTTGTTTACTGATTGCAGACTCAGAAAATAAAGGGACACTAGACTGTTATTTGAAACACGGTTGTCAACTGTGTTTGTCTCATTAGCACTGAGCTCTACCCCAGCGCCGCCAAGCAGGGCTGCTCCTCTGAGGAGTTCAGATGCTTCCAGGCACTTAGAATGTTCAGAATCCCACTACTGCCTTCCCTTTTCAAAGCCCACATTAGCAGGTGGGCTCCATGCTTCTGCTCTTGCTCAATGCATTGCCCTGGAGTCCTTAGCAGTGGCAGTGGCAGGCAGCTGGGAAACATTTGCCGGATGTATGGCATGTTGGCCGTACAAGGAATGTAATCCGTATCCTTTCTTTGTCCGCATGGCCTGTGTGAGGTGGCCCCATCTAGGCTTGCACTTTCCTTCTCAGTTACTCTTCTCTGGCCATGCTTTCCTCAGCATCACCACCTCTCTAGGCCCTATACATTGTGCCCTCCCTATCTGTCCACTCTCCATTCCTCTGAGTTGTACACATCTCCCAGCCAGCCAGGGACCAGATCTTGATTACAACCTTAGCAGGGCCCCAGATTTCAACATCAGAATAAGAGATGGGATATTGTGGCTGAGTGTTTTGTTCATTGTGTGTGTGTAATCCTAGCCCACTGAGAGGCTGAAGCAGGAAGATTTCAAGTTTGAGTCCAGCCCATGAAACTTAGTGCCATAGCAACATTCTAGCTCAAATTTTTAAAAATCTGAAGAAGGGCTGGAGGTGTAGCTCAGTGTGAAAGTTCTGCATTCATCACCCAGTACTGCTGAGATAGGCATAGATCCAGACATAGACACATACGGACAGAGCAAGATTCTGTTCTTCCTTTACTGCTACTGATGAAGTCCTCAGGTCCAAGATCAGTACCACACTTCTTGTCCCTGGGCTCCCCTTCAGGCGCCTGCAATGTGTGTGGGATTTCTGTCTCCAGTCTTTTGCTCAGACCTTCTATAAGGGGACACATGCTGCTCAATAAATGGCACACTCTAGGGAGGCAACCAAACAACCTAGAGAGCGGACGGCTGGAGCAACCGGACACTCTCAAGGGTTCATGCCGATCCAGAGAACCCCCTCGGTTCTCATCTGTGGAATGGGTGCCCATTAGCAGGCAATATCACAATACAGGGAACACCGTGGAGAAGCCTCAGGCTGCCTGGCACACACAGAAACAAGCTGCTCAGCCAACACAGGATCGAAATATTGGTACATTCTACATTTCCATCCAGGTGTCGAAATTGAGTCTGCACCCACACACACCAATCATCTCCTGAAGACCCATGCTTCTGCTGTTCTCAATCCCTACCTCTCCTCTACCTACCCTTGCCAATTGCAGGTGCCAGGGCCTTAAGGTTAGGGCATCTTCCTCTGATGTAAACAGAGCGCCAGGAGTTCTGTGCCAGTACTTGCGCAGTACTTGCAATTTTTTTTCTTGGAACAGTGGCCACTGCAGACAGCACCTTGTCTGCAACATCTTGATGTCTTTTTGCACAAAATCCAAACCTTGTGACCACATCAGAGCTGCCGCATTCAGCTGTCTACACAAGTGTCCTGGAAGGTACAGCCTCTTCTTTTGC